AAAACACATCCCCCTAACCAAAACGTATACATTAACTTCCCCACCTAAAACATTCATTTATCACACTGTATATTTAAAAATTCACGTAGTCTCTGTGACGTACCCCATAAGTTATTGGAAAACTGTTGTGAAGCTTAGTGTAAAAATCTTATTGCTTCAATAAAGACCTTGAACAAGCTGATAGAGAATATTTATGATACTGACACTGTAAGATCATTGTTAAAAAAAAAAAAAAGGGGTAAACATAATATTTGTTAAGAACACATTGGTTTGCTAATATGAGCACCAATGGATAAATTATTGTTTAAATTGTTTCATAAAGAACACTGAGCCATGACCTTATGGCTGGTTCACCGCTTTTTCTTCCTTGGACCACTTTTGATGGGTACTGACCACTGCAGACTGGGAACACCCCACAAGAGCTGCAGTTTTTGTTTTAAGGATGCTCTGACCCAGTCATTTTGGCCCTTTTCAAAGGCTCAGAAAACTAGAGGATTTTGATAGTCTCTTAACACCCACAGTGAACCTCTAACAATCTGTGCTCTAATGTTTACCAAATGTGCCAGCATTTTTCTCCACAAGACTGTGGGCGGAGGAGAGGTATCCACTTTTTGTAGTACAAGTTAACCTGGAAGTTACACTTGACGTCACAGAGTTACTACTGAAGTAACCAGGATAAGCCGGGTACCTTGCTTTGTAGTACAGCTCTCTGCTGCTTCTTCATAGTGGTTTTTCACTTCACAACAAGGTCAGAACAATAAACAACTGCAAAGTATACTGTCTGCCCTGTTCTTGTTCTTGACCTGTTTCTGTAAAGATGATGCAAATTACAGTGCAAGCATAACAGCTGCAAGACAAATCTAGGCTACCAAAGTGTTACACAGGCTTAGGTTATACAGTAGATAGTATTACAGGTTGCTTTATGAGTCTGTGAGTTATGGACAGGTTTCTGATATATTTTCTAAGCTGTTGTTTGTTTTTTATGTGTTTTTTTTCCTTTGTCTGTGTGTTCGTGTAGGCGAGGCGTGCTGGTGGACCATCCATCCAGCATCAAAGCAACGGTCAGAGGGAGAGAAGGTTAGGGTTGGGGATGATCTCATCCTGGTCAGCGTCTCCTCTGAAAGATATCTGGTCAGTAGCGTCTGTGTGTGGGAACATGTGAGAGGAGAGGGGGCCTCAAATTTTATTATCACTTTCGTCCTTTGTTTCTTTCTTCTTTCCCATATTATTTTCCTTCACTTGTTCATTCCTCTCTTCAGGGGCGTTACTAGGATTTGAAGACATTGGCTCTGTAGGAGGAGTCAGGGAAGATTTTTTTGATAAACAACCTCTATTTTGATGCTTTTTATGTGCTCTGGTACCTAAAATACCAAAGTGTATAAATCCAAAGTACATGTCTCAGTCATTGCAAAAATTGAAATTGACCTGATGCATAAGTTTGATAACAAACCAAATATTGAGTCAGAGTCACTGTGTTTGTGACTTAAGCATGACTGGAGTTCAAGTTGCAAACTCGAGTTCCCAGTTGTGTAATCGGTAACCTGGACTTATTAGTTATTAGTTCTCTAAACCCTGGATCTACAAATCTGTAGACCAACATATGCCTGATTGTGCCTGTTTGCATATACAAGACTGTATTCTTTATGCCAATCTATTATATATAATATATTCTTATTTCTGATTGTACATCTTTTGATTGCTCCCTGTATGGAATGCAAAATCATGGATCACTGTGAGCACTGCAGACCTTGTACTGACCAATTGCATGGTCTGAAGCATTGGGTGCACTCTATGGTTTTCCCTATGGGCACACAAAACCTGCCCTTCTGAATTGCAAAATACAGAACTCACATTCAGGAAAATCTTAGTGTTTGTGTGTATTTCAGTCTGGTGTGTCAGTTTTTGTTTTTGGATCCTATGTCTTTCTTCCTGCAGCATCTGTCCTATGGTAATGGCAGTCTCCATGTAGATGCAGCCTTCCAGCAGACACTGTGGAGTGTGGCTCCAATCTGTTCTGGCAGTGAAGTAGCACAAGGTACACCTGTCTTTCTGTTTCAATATTTTGAATAATAATTATATATATATATATATATATATATAAGTGTTAGTTCATGTTTAAAAGTGTCCTTTGACCCTACAACATTCTTTTGTTGTTGCTTCTTGTTTTTGCTTCTTGTTTTTGCACAAATTTACACAATGGTTGATCCAGCACTGTTTTCATGTAAACAAAATGTATATGTACTGGTATAACCTACTCATTCTGTAGATGTTTCACTGCCATTCACAATTTATTTTAATGTTTTGCAGATATTTCCTTTGTGAAATGCATTGTGGGACAATAGTGTACATCAGCAGCACAGCCATAAATCAAGATTTTTTTAGTCTGTCTTGAGTTTTTCTTTTATTTACTTACTAATTACTCATACTTCATTTAGTCACTTTTCCAGTGTAAACACACTACTGATTCAGTTGATATGTAGTATTGAATTAGGGCACTGCCTCTCAATGTCTGTCAGGGTCTACAATTCCCCAAAATCTGTGACATGATTGACATGATTTGAAGACACAGCTGTTCTTCATGTTGGCAGTCAGCTCTGCTTGTCTTTGTGAACAGATTGGTTTCAGAAACGTGAATCCATGTCATGTTTAATACTGTAACTGCCCTGCTGCACTTAACCCCTGCTGCCCTACTCCCATGTCTGCTCAGTACAGTTAATCAGAATACTCAGATATGTTTTTAAATTCAAGTATAGGAACGTTATCATGTGTACTAATTTTGCTGTTGTGCAAACCTGGCTTTCTCTCTGTAGTGTCTTCTCTATCGTATGAATCATGTGTTGTCTGTGGCCTTCTGTTCTGTCTGCCTCTCTTTCTCACCCCTCCTCTGCCTGTTCTGCTTTAATTTTTTCTCTTTTCTCCTATTGCTTCTACTTCCCCTTTTTTCCCTTTCTGCTCTCTTGTCTGCAGGTTTCCTAATAGGAGGGGACGTCCTGCGGCTCCTTCACGGTCACATGGATGAGTGTCTAACTGTTCCATCTGGGGAGCATGGAGACGAGCAGAGAAGGTACTGTGTACTGATAATTACAACTGGACTGCTTTATTCGCTAAACACAGTCACTGTAGTAAC